GTCCCTCACCCCTGATTGGACCAAAGGGGCCCATCAGTATTCCTTATCTTTAAAGGCTCCCAGTCCAAATCTTTCTTAGAGTGCTCCTTGTCCCATCTCATTCTTACCCTCAAGGTCCTTGCCCCAGTCTCTTTGCCTAGGCAGCCCCAGTTTTCCCAAGCCCAATACCTTAGTCCTGGTTTCCATCTCTTCCCTATTACCAGCCCCTGGTCCCACTGTCCACCTCCCATGCTCTTTGTCCCTGTCGATTTTCTTGCAGCCCCACTGGTCTGGGTCTTCGCCCTCAGTATTTGAAACAGGCAAATTCCTTCTCCCCATGCTGTGGAGGCATAGGAAAGGTGCTCACTGACAGCACAGGAGAGAGACCCTTCCTGCTCCCAGCTGAAGTGCCTGGACATGATCCCACCTCAGCTTGCAGCAGTCCAGACCTACAACTGCAGGGGAAGTCTTTGCTCAGCCCTGGTTTGGAACATGCCCATTGCAGACAAAATCTTCCATGAAGTCAGCCACTAAAATCTGAGAATTCTCTACTGAATAATAGGGAACTGATTTTTCAGAGGTGTAGCCTGGCTGGATTTGGGTGGCTGTTCACTAGGATGGCAAAAGGCCCACCCTTGAGACAAAGGCCTCCTGCTGAAAATTCAAGTCCCCATTCCAACAAGGGTGCTAGAACTTTTCAAACAACTGGTCACTGGGATTTCGAACCAATATTTTCCTATCCTTTTCTCAGAATCAGCTGTAATTTCCCAAAGCATCTCAGGCTGAGGCAAAAAGCCTGGATGCAAAAGTTCAGCCCAAATAACAAAAGGCTTTCAATTAATAGCATCTTACGATGGGAAGCACCAGGAAACCTTAATAATAGGCGGTGCCACCAGTTCAGCTTATAACAAGAACCATATGAATGAAATCCAAAGTGATAATATTAACCCAAGAGAAACTGTAGAAGCTCCCCGGGAAAACAAAGAGACTCAGCCCTTCCCTTCTCAAGCTTAGGCTTTTATAATATTCTGAAAGTGAATGAACTTCAGCTATGCTGGACCAAAGGCAACCCCACCCCTGAACTTAAACTCCTTCACTTCTCCCACCCCGCAAATCCACCCTAACGATTCCTTACTACTCTGCTTCTCCAGAAGACTTCACATTTTCCCCAGAACATTTCAGTCAGCAAAGAGAACACAGAGAAATTCAGGCTCCACAGCTGAAAGTTCAAACGTAATTGGCTTTACAGGTTAAAGTAGCATTGCTTTGACTTGCATCTAGAACCAAATAAAAACAAAAAACAGCAAAACAAACAGCACAGTCTGCAGAGGTGTGGTCCTTGCAGGAGAAAGTATGTGAGCAGCTGTATGGGAGTTTCTAAATGTTTTTCTGAGGTAGCCCCATGGAAAGTGAGTGGCTGTATGCCAACCTGGAGATGACTAAGGCATGGGTAACTGTGGCAAGGGCCATCTCAGAGAGGAATGCAACACTCTCTTTGCTTACAAAATAGAACAAAAAAGTGCTCTTTCCTAGTAACTGAGAATTATGAATAACTAGTAATCCCATGGGACCCTCTAATGTAGACCACATTAATACGTATGTTATAGCATGCCCTTCCCACCACCTAAGGTAGTACATATCCCCACTGTGAAATTGTACAAGTATTTCCCCTGTGCCACCAGCGCCACCTCTGTATTATCCAGAAGGGGTTTTTGCCAGCTAGCTCGACTCCATGCCACAAGCTTGGCGAGACACCGGGTCTGTAGTGTCTGGGTCAGATGAAAAGGAGACACAGAGCTGAATATCAACAGCATGCTGATGCCACTGCAACTCAAAACTCCTCTGCATACTGCATTACAGCAATAATGGAAAATCCCTGGGGCACCCTGCACAAGGGAACAACTCTCAAAGCATTTAAGTGACCACCCTCTGGGACCTCTGGGGAGAGAAAACACCCCATCACATCCAGTCCTATCAGGGCTTGCAGATACACCAGCAATACAGCAGAGGCTCCCTGTGCTCCTTTCCCCCCATCGGATGAATGCTAATTACTAGGGAAACAATATCAAGACTACAGGTTAAGCTTAGCAAGGCCAGGAATGTCATCATGTGACAGGCTAGGCCACAGTCTTAACCCTCTTTACCATGAACGAGGGGAAGAGCTCTGAACCCAGATGAGGGATGCTAGGTCTAGATAGCTGTCAGGGAGACCTGAATGTAAGTGCCTCTTATTTATGACCTCAGAAAACCTACCTCAAAACTATTACAAGGGGAGAGGGGAGTTCATGGGTACAAGGGGAAGTGAAGTGTTCCATTTCAACTCTATACCAATAGAAGCCCACCAAGCTTAGGGGGTGCACCTCCTACGCATCACCAATGCTTCCCACCAACTTTGATATAGTCCTACTTAATAGATACTTCCCATTCCCTTCTCTTCCATGCCGGGGGCTCCCTGTGAGCCCAGCTGTCTCCTTCACCCATCCATATCATTGTTCCCCATCTTCTCCTCTCCCCTTATCAAGGACTATTTGTCCCCTTATGCTTGCCTCTGTCTCATGCTAAGGTTTCAATGTGTCCCCTATGCCTCACTTCCCTCATAACATAATTCCCCCATCCCTTACCTCCTGTTGGTGCCCCTCCTGATTCCCATTTCTCACCATCATTACTATTGCTTTTCTTTCTGTTTGTGAGATAAATCATTTATAGCATCCATTTATTAATCTCAGTTGGGACAAGGGCAAAATGGAGGTGCGGGTATGGTGTTCTAGGCTATCATGAACCAGTTCTTTGATGTACAAACAATTCCAGACTTTGCTGAAGCTCATGTCTGTGCTAACCTCATACCAGGGTCTCCGTACACTCCCAATGCCACCCTTCTAGCAAGAGGGGTCTGTCCAACCCAAAATAATCCCTAAAATGTCAGAAGATTGTATGCAGCACTCAAAAGATAGCATGTTCCACTGAAAGAGATGTGCAGTGAGCTTTGCTCAGCCAGTAACACAGAGTATTTTTGGTTTCCATAGGAATGAAATAATCATAATGGATCTCATCCATCCAGTATAAATGAAACTACTAAAGAAGCTCTATATGGTAACTTATTTCCATTTTCATCAAAACATAAAGCCTAATACCTGTGATCACTCTTATTGCATTACCTTGCTTTTTACAGTTATTGTATTGCTCACACAGTCCCTTGCTCTGCACAACATCTACAGTACAGATATACAGAAGGCAACAAAGAGTTCTTGAGTACGAAAATTTTAATTTCAGTCTAAGAACCAGAAACAGTCTGGACACAAACTTTCTACAATTGCAGCTATTCAATTCAGATCAATAGCATGCAAAATTCAAAGCTTTGTTGTTTTTGGGCAAACTGATTTCCAACTCCAAAATTAACCCCCCCCACAAAAATTCACATTAAAACACAACTAAACTCAAGGGATCCCTCAGAAAATGCCAGCTCTTAGCTTTCATTCATTGTTTTTACTATAAAAATAATAGCGCAATTCTTCGGTTGCAAAGAACTCAGAAAGACCACAATAGGTCAGAATGTTTTTGACACTGTGGATTCCTGTTTGAAATCTCTGTATTTATCTTGTGAGTCTTGTGTAGGTGTTTGCACAACTAGCAATGTGTGGCTACTGTGCAGCACCATATGGCACCCTTAGAAATATCTTATGGCATCCTAGCTGAGAATCACTGCCTTAACCATTAGGTATTAAAAAATACAGTCACTCAGAATATCCAGTCTGCAAGATTAAAAATACAATGATTCATATTTTATTACATACTGACAATAGAAAAAGTAGCATCTTGTTTTGACGTGCATCAGTAACTCTCACCCAGAAAATGACCTGAGACTGCCACATGTCATGGTCTATTAAACAGCCATTAGTCACCTCTGCTATTCATGATAGGACTCTCTTACAGCTCAAGAAGTACCCTCAATGCTATGAATTCATACTGAAGGGAACTGAAACTGAGCTGAGCTAATTATTTGTATATATCATCCGTGGTGCATGAGGACAAAATCCAGATATTCCCTCTTACGCCCACCTTACTTTTTGTCAGCACTGAAGGACTAAAGATCTCTACAGCTCCTTTCAAATCAAAAGCCCTTTAAAACAGTGCTTTGGTGAAAGTCAGAACAACCTGCATTTCTCCGTGGGCTGTGTATACAGGGCCATGTTAAGCCCCTAACACAGTGGTTCATGGATCGGAGAAAGGTCAGGGAATGCCAAGGCCCTCCACTCATTTTCTTCATTACCTCTCAAGAGGATTGAGGTTGCACTCCCCTCTGTAACAGGTCCACTTGGGATGAGGGAAAGCCCACAGCCCTGCCTTCTCAAGAGACAAGAGCAGAGGCTGCCAAGACAATGCAGAGAAGGACCCTGACCCTGACCCTAGCCCAGTGGTCTCCAATCTTTTTAAGCAGGAGATCATCTTTAGCATTTAAAAGCAATCCAAGATCTATTGTATGCCACCCCCCTCACCGCCCCTCCCAGCATGCTTCCCCAGCAGGTCAGTCCCACCCAGCCATGCCCCACTCAACTTACTCCTGCTCCTGCCTCTGCGGCACCGTTCCTTATTACAGGGGCCTCACTCCAGCTCCTGCCCTTTCCCTCCCCCATGGACAGACTTGCTGGGCTGGGGTGGGTGTGAGCATGCACGTGGGCACTCAGCTCCCCCCTCCCCCCACCCCAGCCTCAGATCAATTTCAAAAGGCTCTGAGATCTACCGGTGAATTGAGATCCACTGGTTGGTGACCACTGCCCAAGACCCGTATCTTGGGCAGCCGCAGAAAAGCGATTCATTATTAGCAGGTTCACATTTTGAGCCACTCTCTGTGCTTTGTAATGATGTCCTTCAAGTACTTTGTCAGTGGAATTAGCATTCCCCCTGACTTCAAGCTGCTGCATGCTTGGCCTTCTAGGGTCAGACGAATTAACACCAGTCATATTTTCCACAGCTTTCTCAGCACAGAAGTAACAACCACCACAACAATTTTGGGGAGTACTTACCACATCTGTGTTTGTGATCTTGGCCAGGAGTTCTGTTAGACTGTCACCACAGAGGGAATGTTCCCCATCATCAAGCTGAAGGCCACAAATGGCTGCTCCCACACTTCCAGTTGCTATCATTGATGGTGGATACATGGCAAAGTTAAAATCTGCAGAAAAGGAACCAAGAGTTATTCCAAGCACCCATCATAAAAGCTGCTGGACTTCAGAGACTCCCAGCCAAAAATAAGGGAAATAAATGGGATGGAAAAAGACAGCCTTGTCTCATCTGACGGAGCTGAACAAGCTTGATGTAGACAGATGAGACAAAGTAACCCAATAAACAGAGAAACTGTGTCTGTTCCCTTTTTTAGGATGCATGTAGAACTGAAAGTGTTTTGAATTTTTTCCTTTTCTTTTCTTTTTTAAAGAAGGAGTGAGAGATTTCTGTTTTTATATTAGAAAGCCAGGTTTCAGTTTCATTGGGATTCTCTGTATAACTAGATGACTAGCTGGACTATGACAACAAAGTGATCAAAACTGAAGCAACTGAGAGGGGCAGAGGTTTCTAGTCAAGATGGCTTTTGTTTGTTTTTATTAGCATTTATTGAACTCAAATGGCCAGTAAACACTTGGGAGAAAAGAGCTCTTTGTTAAAACTCCTCTCTTCCCCTTGACCTCCTTTTCCCTACACCTGTCCAATTAAAGAGCATGGAAGGCTTGCAGCACATATCTGAGATCTCCCATAATTCTCTTAGGAAAAAAAAACCCAGGGAAGCTCAGACTTAGCGTTTCTGATATTTTAAGAGAGAGAGAAAGTGAAACAGAAAGAGAGAGAAAGAGGGGAAAAAGGAGGGAAAGAGAGAAAAGTATGAGATGAGAGAAAGAGAAAGAAAGAGAGGGAAAGAGAGAGAAAGGAAGTCTTTTTTTTTTAAACATGGAACACTCAGTGAATCTGTGCGTCATCCTTGCGCAGGGCCCATACTAATCTTCTCTGTATCATTTCAATTTTAGTATATATGCTGCTGAAGCAAGCACTTTAATATGTCAGAAAGAAAGAAAAACTTAAGTCCAATTTTTCTTGACTTTTGCAACTCAGCTTTCAGACCTTCTCAGTACTGATAAAGAGAATGTTTCATTTAGATTTCCTTTATGCAACCCTTTTTCCAGTTTAACTTCATTGCAAACATCTACACAAACTGTATGCCTTGCTGTTCATTGTCTATAGAGGTTATATAGGAAGCAGAGGGACACCCAAGCAGTGTATTACAGGTTCTATCCATATGTTCACTATATTTGCAAAAACAGAGATCATCCTAGCAAACAACCATTACAGAGTATTTCAGGCCAAACCTGCAGTTAATGTAAATGGGTGTAGCTCAGGGGTCGGCAAAATATGGACCGCAGGCTGGATCTGGCCCGCAGAGGGTCTTTGTCTAGCCCACAGCGGGTCCCTCGGTCCTACCTGCCCAAGCGCTGTCTAGCCTATGGTGCCTCCTACCGCTCCCTGGACATGTAGGGGGGCTGGGGTAGCTTTGCAGCAGGACTGCCTTTCTAGGCAGCCCAGCTGGAGGTGGCTCCTTCTGGCTGCTGCCACCGCTGCCCCAGCCTTATGGTACTGGCAGGGACCCGTGGGCACAGCCCTGACCCTGGCCTAACCTCCACCTGCTCCACACCGCCCGCCCATGCTGATCAGCAGCAGTGGCTGGGCAGAAACTGCTGCTCAGCACGGGGGAAAAGAGGCCCCTCCCTCTCACCGCTGCCAGGCAGTTCTTGCTGCAGCTGCCTGGAGCCTGTGCTTAGGCTGCCCTGTGGCTCCTTTGCAGCGTCACCCACAGGGTGGCCTGGAGCAGCAGTGATGGAGGTAGAGAGGAGCCACAGGGCAGCCCAGGTGTGGGCTCTGGGTAGCTGCAGCCACAACAGCCCAACATTGGTGAGGGGGTGGGGCCGCTTTTCCCCTGTGCCAGCAGCAGCTTCTGCCCAGCCACTGCTTAGTGTAGGTGGGGAGTGTGGAGCAGGCGTGAGGCGAGCCGGGGTCAAGGCTATGCCCACGGTTCCAGCTGGTCTGCCCAGGCCGGGATGAGACTGGTGTGGGCACGAGCTGGGCTGGTGCTGTGCACTGTTGGCAGTGGCGGGGAGGAGCCCCAGGGTGCGCAGGCTCCGGGATGTTGTGTGGGGGTACTGACCAGCTTAGGGGATGCCCATACGTATGTGGCCTTCCCTGGACCAGCTTCTTTGCAAGTGTCCCTTCTCCCCTGCACGGCAAAGCCATACTAATCCCCAGGCTTGGAGGCAATGGCCCCAGGAGTTCACCTATACCGCACCCCCCAGCCCAGGCCCTGCAGCCACCATTGCTGCGGGGGCCTATCGGCTTCCATAGCAAGTGGCAGGGGGAGCGTGGCAGGCCTAGACCACGGTGTTGCTGGTCACGAGAGGAAGGTGGAGTGGAGGCTCCAGTAACCAGGGCTGTGGGTGCTACAAGCTGCTGCCAGCAGCAGCCACAGCCCTAGGGCTCAGTGGGCCCATCTGCCCTGCCCTGCGTGTAGGGAGTGCTGCCAGCCTGGGATGCACATATGTGTGCATCTTCCCCATGCACACTCCAACATGCCCAAATATCCTCCTCCACAAACCCCCCCTCCCTACACACAATCACACCCCACAAAGAGCACACCTACCCACACCCCCTATCCGTCACATGGCACACCCCTACATCCAGCTCCCCAACCACACCCCACACACAATATACAAGAGTAAGACTTTATTTTGAGCTACTTTGCGATTGCTTTTATATACACTATGCAAGCACGCATAAATAAGGACAAAAATATTTTTTGAAATAAAGATAGATGTTTGATTTTTAGTATATTGTTTTTTTCCAGTTCCAAGATGGCAAACCCCTCTTCCCAAAAGAAGTACTTCTGGGGGCAAGGGGAGGGACTTCCAGTAGCACACTGAATTGGCAGCTAACAGAGTCAGTGTGCATTTGATTTAACTTGAATCGATTTAAATCAATTGTCAGAAAGCCTCGATTTAGTCACTGTTTTCTACCAAAAGGGCATTCTTGTTGTTTGACATCCTCAGTTCATTTAACTTCTTGAAACTTTGCACTTTTAGAGAGAGGTAAGGGCTTGGCTCTGCATACACAATCTTGCAGCGAGCCATAGATTTCACAGGCATTAGGGATGGAAGGGACCTCATAAGATCATCGGGTCTAGCCCCTGCCTAAGGGGCAGGAAGTCAGCTAGGCTCAGATGACCCCAGCAAGATAAGCATCCAAGTGTTTCTTAAAGGTATCCAGAATAGGTGCTTGCACCACTTCTGGGGGGAGCCTATTTGAGACTGAGACAAGAGGGCTGATGGGTAGGTAATCCGATGTCTTTATTGCTCATCTCCACATACTGCTGTTAACAAGGATGTTATCTCTGGAGACAAACCCACATTTTGAGAATTGAAAGTAAGCATCACAGAGATGCTTAATGAGTCTTCTAGACTGAGCACTGGGTCCCTTTGGGTTGAGTGGTTTTCTTTAATCTTTACTAATCTATAGAGAAAGCTCTCGGGAACCCTATAAGATTGGGCCCCTAATATAACACATGGCCTGTTGTGACCTATTTATAAAACTTTTCTAAAAAGGTTATACAAATATATTGTATCAAATAGTTTCATCATTTTATAGTAGCTAGGGTCAGGAGGGACCTGAACA